GGGGGGGGTCTAAGGGTTTCAAGATACAGGTTTTAGAGAAATTTAAGAACTAATAGATACCACACTAGAGGAATTAACAGATGACTCGATCGAGATGAGTGCTTCCAAACCAGGGTCAGATGATCAGGAAGAAGATGTAGAAAGAGCAGTGCCAGAAAACAAATTGACATGAGACAATCTGGCACAAAGGTTCAATTACTCAAGACTTCTTTTGACTTCTCTTATGATAAGGACCCTTCTATGATATGGGAACTGAACCTAAAGCAAACGGCAGAAGGATTGGTACCATACAGAAACATTTTCAAAGAAATGGAAAAGCAAAAAAGACAGAAATTATTATGTATGTCCATAAAGTTACGAGTATGCCTGCCTTTCCCTCCACTTCCTCCACCTCTGCCACCCGAGACACCAAGACCAACCCCTCCCCTTCCTCCTCAGTCTACTCAACGTGAAGACAACAGGGATGAAGACCTTTATGACGATCCACTTCCACTTAATGAATAGTAAATATATGTCCTCTTCCTTATGAATTTCTTTATATCACCATCTTTTCTCTAGCTTACTTGATTTTAAAAATATAATACATAACACACAAAACATACAAAATATGTGTTCATTGACTATGCTATTGGTAAAGCTTCTGGTCAACAGTAGGCTGTTAGTAGTTAAGTTTTTTGGGGGAGTCAAAAATTATACATGGATTTTCAACTGCACAGGGGGTCAATCCCCAGAGGGATTCCAATGTGGACAATGTGGGAACCCATGCCTCTCCCCCACACTTAGAACTATGCTGGGCATGGAGTCGATACTCAATAGCAACTTGTTACAGTCAATTACTCAGAGTAGTGAGACATACCAGAGTTCAAGAATAACCCCAAAACAGCTTGCTGTTCTAATGACTGCTGGGGGAGGAGAAAGAAGGAAAGAAAGAAAAAAAAAAAAGGATGGAAACATTATTTTTCTCTTTGCACTACAAATCTTTATGTAAAAGCTGTGCTCATAGATTGGCCATTTAAATGACATAAGAGAAAGAATTTCTCATGAATTATCCTGAGAAAAAAGAAAGCATATCCCCAAATTTAAGAATCTCCTAGAGCAGTGGTTTTGTGGGTGGGTTTTGTGTGTGATTTTTG